GTACTCTTGCTCACTTAGCAATATATCCTGGAAACACTCCATATTAGTTCATAAGGATCTATATCTTTTTTTTTTTCAACTGTGTAGTACCTGGTGTGGCACTGTGGGTTAATGCTCCAGACTGCAAAGCCTTGAACTGCAAAGTCAGAGGTTCAAGCTCACCAGCTGAATCTCGGAAACCCTATACAGGATTGCTATATAGGATTGCTATATAGGTCAAAATTGACTCGACGGCACTTAACAACAAAACAACAACATGCCTGTTTTAAATATATATTACACATACATATAGAGAGAGAGCTCTGGTAGTGTAGTGGTTATGAATCACACTGAGAACCTCAAGGTCAGTAGTTTGAAACTACCAGCTGTTCCATGGGATAAAGACGAGGCTTTCTGCTCCCAGCCTCGGAAACCCTGTACAGGGTCGCTATGAGTCTGAACCAACTCCACGGCACATAACCATCAACCACCACCATTGTATATATATATGTATATATATATATATATATATTACACACATAAGAAGGATATGCCAGAAACTAACAAAATTGGTTATGTCCAGGGAATACAGTAGAAAAGATGGAATGATGGCATTTCTCTGAGCAGAAATTTTTATAAAGTCTTGACTTTTGCAGTAGTGTTAATATCTTAGTTTTTAAAATGCAAAATAACAAAGATGAGGAAGAAAATAGAATTAAAGTAGGAACAAATGGACATCATTGTATTTCAGTAAATAATAAAACCAAAGAGGGGAACTTCAAAATAAAAAAATAATAATAATAACCAGCAACTTTCAAGTACAATTCTTTGATTTTATAATCAAGGTTTTAAAGACAAAAAAAAAAAAAAAAACCCTATCAAATATTGGATTTTAGTTTAAAAGACTGTTTTCTTAATGGTAGGGGTTAACCAGTTACCTTCATTATTATTTCAACTCTTAATAACCCCATGTGTGTCAGTGTAGAACTGTGTTCAGTAGGTTTTCAGAAATAGATCACCAGACTTTTCTTCCAAGGCATGTCTAAGTG